TAACTCACTAGATGACCATAGGAACATTCTAAGAATACTTTAGAAGAACTAAGAGAATGTATATAGGACAATTAGTTTAGAATAAAATCTGTATGTAAAGAGCTACATAAGATTATAAGTTCTAAACAAATATATATATATATATATATATATATATATATACATATATATATACACATATATATATATATATATATATATATATATGAATTATAATTGGATTATGACTTCATTATGGGATAAAGAGTCAATTTTGTTGGAATGAGGTCCAACCAAAACAAAATAACACAATATACTACAAAATAAGAATACATTGTTTTATAAGTTGAAATCTAATATGATTGGATGAATGTGTTCATTAAAAAACTATGTTCATTTATTCCATTCACGGATCACATAGAAATCTTAGTGAATTCGAGAGTATACTTAATCAAGCTAAGGGACTCTATGTCACAAAAGAACAACAATCATATACTCTAATATATTTAACTATGCCTAGAGTAAAGTCAAATATGGAGATGATAGTATTCGTAGAATTCATACAAATTAAGTTTAGTGGAACCCATTTAATAAAGTCCTTATTATAAGCTAAGTATGAATGGTAACACTTCAGCTATAAGACTTTATTTTTCTAGAAATGGGATTTTGATTTGGATTTAGTATTTGGATATTGGAACATTGTAACAACAACTATTATATAATGTTTTGATATACTGGGATATGATCATAAAATCAATACTTGTTGTGTTCTATATTAACATGTTTAATCCATAAATAATCTTATTATTATAAAAGTTCATATTCGGTTATAATTGTGGGAGCAATTATGAAATAAGACTAATATGAATTGGATTGGTTGGATTTCATTAGATGAAGGTAGGAAATGGGTTGTAACCAAGTTTTATAGGGTCAGAGAACTGGTATTGAACTTACCCGCATCAAGATCATCTCATGGAGGGCTATCGTGTATGATACTTGATTAAAAGGTACTATCTTTGTATCCTTAACACCTGAGATACATAGTGAGACTTAAGTATAGGGAGTACTGTGCTTAGATATGGCCAAATGCTGGTCCTTAACCGGGAAGTTATAAAATCCATTTTCAGGTATGGTATGAACTATGCAAGAGGCTTATGTAGTCAAGATGGGTCACACTAACAACAACTTGATATAATTGATTATTTATTAGAAATTAATTTTAATAAATATTCAATAAACTCTTATAATTAAATGGAAATTATTTATTTCTTGGAAATAATAATTTCCATTAGCAAGGAACATTATATATAATTCATATTATATGAATTAATAAGTCATGCACAACATTTTGGACTAGATAAATTCTTTTGTCTTTTACCAAAAAGTTAAAGTTTATATTTAATAAACTTGGTTTATAAAATATAAAGGTTTTGTCTTCTTTATTTTATTATTTTTTTTATAAAATAAGAGTCAAAAGACAAGAGTATGGCTTTCATGTTAATTTATTCAAAAGTAATGTCTAGCCATATAAGCATGGGGGACATGGTGGTCTAGTGACATGAGAGGGCTTAAATGGTTAAGAACTTGTGTGTAAAAGAGCTCCTTTATGAAGGATTTCATTTCTTATACACACATATACACAAAATCGTAACATGCATGATATGGGGATTTCTCTCTCACTTTTGATCATATCTTGAAGAACACTTGCTTCTTGATGCTCTCTTTATGTTCTTATTTTGATAAGCACATAAAGCTTAAGAGTCTTAAGATTTTTATAAAAAATAACTAGCATTCTACATCAAGTTGATATATTGTTGGTATATCTAAAGTTCAATATTTTTCGTCAACTTCCAAGCCTCCCATGAGGATGCAAAGAACTACAAAGGTTGTTATTTGTTCTTCTTCTCCTTTGGTTGTGTTTGTTTTTCTTTCCAAACTTTGCAAGATGATCCATGGTTGGTTATAATTTTTTTTATGTTATTCAAATTATCAAGTCTTCCGTTGCTAAATATTATGTTTTTGAAACTAGTTTTTGAATAAAAACCCAACAATGCATACATTGTGAAGCAATGTTATGGTATGAAGAGCGAACTATTAAATATTGTTCTCCTCCGAATCCTATTTTCTCCATATGTTGTAGTGATGGAAAGATAAAACTTCATTTTCTTAGGGATCCTCCTCCACTATTGCACAACTTATTGGATTACAATGGTGATCAATGATCAAAAGTCTTCAAAGAAAACATTAAGAGAGTAAATGCAATGTTTTTGTTCACTTCGACTGGAGGAAAAATTCATACGAATTTTAATGACGGAAGAGGTCCGTATACATTTCATTTGAATGGACATAATCATAATAGAATTGGAAGTTTGTTTCCTACCCATGACTATGGTTGTCCAAGATTTGCCCATTTGTACATTTATGATACTGAAAATGAGATCGAAAATCAGTTTTATGCCTTACATTAACAGACAACGAGATCGATACCGACGATGAGATCGACATCATATCAGTCCATTCTTCGATGTTTCATTGAAGAAATCATTCCTATGCAAGATGAGAGTGACTCGTTGGTCAAGGAATTTAGGATGGCTAAAGATAGGTTCCATGACTCATCGATGCAGCCAGTTAAACTTTGTTTGATTGGTCAACGTAACAAAGATGGCAGACAATATAATTTACCGACTATATCTGAAGTTGTTGCTTTGATTCCAGGTGATGGTGGCCCTATAAATTCCCGTGATGTACTTATTGAAGCGCGTGGTAACGGAATTGTGAAGAGGATATCTGAACGTCATCCCTCTTTCATGGCGTTGGAGTATCCGTTACTTTTCCCATATGGAGAAGACGGGTTTTATTTAAATATCCCTCTAGCAACACCTTCTACAAAAAACAAAGAAAAAATGTTAGTATGAGGGAATACTATAGTTTTTCTTTACAGTCTCGAAATAATGAAGGTAAAACTCTACTTAAATCGGGTCGTTTGTTTCATACATATGTTGTTGATGCATATGTTGTAGTGCTCGAAGAAAACTTAGATTGGTATAAAAGAAACCAAAATACAATTCATTCAGAATTATATAATGGTTTGGAGGACAGCTTATCCAAGGGAGAAAGAAGTGCTACACATGTCAGTAGACGTGTTATACTACCATCATTGTTTACGGGTGGTCCGAGGCATATGATACAACAATATCAAGCAATGGCCATATGTCGTTGGGCTAGAAGTCCAGATCTCTTTGTTACGATGACGTGTAACCCAAGATGGATTGAGATTGAATGACATCTTGAACGAACTATACATAGTCAGCCAACTATTGATAGACCTGACATTGTTGCAAGTATTTTAAAGATTAAGCTCGATGAGCTGATGAATGACATAAGAAAAAAACATCATTTTGTTCATACAAAAGTTGGTATGTTTTTTAACACTTTAGTACCCTGATTAAATTTACATAAATTTGCCGATTTATTTCTAACCTTACTTCTATATGTACACAATTATTTACACAATCGAGTTTTCAAAAACGGGGATTGCCATATTTTCATTGCCTTGTGTTTCTTCATGGTCCTGATAAAATCTCCACAAATGATAATATTGATCAATTTATATCAGCAGAGTTTCCTTTTGAGGAAAATGAACCCATTGCATTTGAAGTTGTTCGTACTCACATGATACATAGCCCTTGCGGTCAGTTTAACCATTCAAGCCCATGTATGCAAAATGAACAATGCTCGAAAGGATATCCAAAGGAATATTGTGATACAACTTTCATAAGACTTGATGGGTGTGCTATAGAAGGTCTAACAATAGATAAAAAGCTAAAGTTGGTTAGCATGATATTATGCTTGATAACCGTTATGTCGTTCCACATAATGTAAAGTTGCTTGTCAAATACGGGTGCCATATCTACATTGAGTATTGTAACCAAGGTACCTTGGCTAAATATCTTTTTAATTACCTGAATAAAGGCCATGATCGTGTTACAACTATTTTAGAAGGCCCAAATAGAACACAATCATTTGTATCAATGTTGCAACACGAAAATGAGATTGAAAAATACATTAATTTTCTTTACATTTTAGTATCTGAAGTATGTAGGAATTTGTTGGGATTTGAGATGCATTATCGTTCAGTTACAATAGAAATATTACCCTTTCATGCAAAATATTGTAATAGAGTTTATTCTAGAGATAGGGATGATGTTGCAAATGTTGTATAAAGTACTATAGGTCAATGTCCAATTTTACTGAGTGGATGACATCAAATCAGTTGTATTCATATGCTAGATTGTTAACATATGCAGAGTTTCCATAAAAAATTACATGGTATCCAAAAGATAACGAATGAATGCCACAATAAGGCGGTGTTGTGAGTGGCCCCGTTAGCTTTAAAGATATTCGCACTGTTGATGGTGTTGAGCATCCAACCTATATGTCTGTATGCAAACCATTGAGGTTATTAGGAGAAGATACCAAATGGATTGAATCAATTCAAGAAGCATCACAATGGCAGTTAGGATCAACTCTGAGAATTATTACTAATAATTTTATTGTTCTGTACCGTTACTGATCAAACAAAGTTCTTTTGGGATTGTTTTCCCTTTTTATCAGATGATGTTGCTTATAATCAATGTAGATTACTTCAAAACGAAGAAGTGTTCTTTTGGTATGAAGAATTGCTAAATTACACTCTGCTCCATATAAACAATTTTTTAAATGGTAACGGTAGATCATTGGTTGATTTCCCAAATCTAGCTCAGATAGACCGCCGTTTGCTGAATATTGGTTCAAATAGGTTGATTGTTGGGGAGCGTACATAAAATGTGAAAAAAAGAAATATTGTGTTTCAATGCTTTACATAGTGCTTTAAATATGCAACAAAACGAGATGTATACTGCTATAACGAATGATGTTACTGAAAAAAAAAGGAGGATTTTTTTGTATCCGGTTATGGAGGGACAGTGATAACATACTTATGGAGAACACTATTTGCTTTGATTCTTTCCCAGGGAAAGATTATGTTGGTTTTTGCGTCTTCTGGCATTACTTCTCTATTATTGCCTGGCGGGTGTACACCACACTCCAAGTTCAATATTCCTTCAGATCTTGATCACGACTCATGTTGTTCAATCAACGTTGGCACGGATCTTGCAAAGTTGATTAATGTCATAGAGCTGATTATATGGGACGAAGCTCCATTACAACATTGATATTGTTTTAAAGCTGTTGATCGTACATTTCATGATGTCTATTGGTATTACATTCCTGGTTCTGAAAATCAACTTTTCGGGGAGAAGATTTTAGTACTTGGTGGTGACTTTCGTCAAATCTTGTCGATTAGTCCGCATGGATCACATTGTGATGTCGTTAGAGCTGCTAATAACAAGTCATGTACTCTATGGAATGCCTGTCTTGTTTTTGTGTTGACAACTCACATGCGTTTACATGATCCAACCATCATTGGGGCTGAACTGATATGCATTCATGCATTTAATACATGGCTTCTTGACACGGGATCTAGTAAGCTTCCTACAACTTCAGTTGAACGCGAAGATGATTCTACATGGATCACTATACTTGATAAACTTTTGATTCCTATTGTTGACAATCCTATTCAGACAATGTTATCCAATATATTCACTGATATTTTGAATAAAATTAGCGACTTCTCTTATTTGAAGGAACAATGCATCGTTTGTCCTAAAAATGATGAGGTTGATAAAATGAATTTACATGTTCTTGAAAGTATGCCAGTCGACATGCATGAAATGTTAAGTGCTGATGCTATATGTGCGACTACAGGTAACTTTAAAGAAATGAAAATTACGTACCCAACTGAATTTATTAACACGTTGCGGTTCTCAGGTGTTCCAAGCCATATATTATACCTAAAAGTTGGTGCACCAATCATACTGTTATGTAACTTGAATTTTCAAAGATAGTTGTGCAATGGGACTCGGTTAGTGGTCACGCAAATTAGTCGAAGGGTTCTTGAAGCAGTTATTATTACTAGTACTTGTGATGGAGAAAAAGTTCTAATTGGAAGGGTTGATATGACTCCAAATGATATATCATGGCCTTTTAGATTTAAGAGAAGACAACTTCCAATAAAATTTTGCTTCGCTATGACAATAAAAAAAAAAGTCATGGCCAAACTTTTAATAATGTTTGTGTGTACTTGTCAAAACCGGTTTTTGCTCATGGTCAACTTTACGTGGCAACATCTCATGTAACCTCTCGTAATGGACTTCGATTTTACATTGAAAACAATGAAAAGTGTGCCAATATCGGTGTGGGATTTTACATTGAAAACAATGAAAAGTGTGCCAATATCGGTGTGGGATTGAAAACTTTTATAATTTACCTCTACATTGAATTGTCAACATTGATGTAATGAAGTGTTTGTTTTATTTTATATACCATTTTCCCATTTTTCAAGAATTTTCAATATCGGTGTGGGATTTAATCTTTAAGTTCATTTTCAAAATGGTTATTTTTCACAACTGACGTTAATATTGAAAACAACGGCAAGTGTGGTAACAATACCCTATCAATGATAGCAATATACTTACATATTCTTAAGCAAAATAGCATTGTACTTAACTTTTACCAATAAGAGATTTATTCAAGTTATAGCAACAACATGCATACATTTTGTTTTTCACATATTGGCTTTGTGCTTTCCATTTCTCACCAATAATATCGAGCTAATTATATTTCTTTAATGATAGGATTAATATGTAAGAAACATGGTACATTATCTACATCAGTAATGTAAGTTAACTAAGTTTATATTATGGGCAGGTATTATAAGTGTGATGCTATCATGGGTAAATAAGTAAAGTATGTTGGTATTATGATAATATATATTATTATAGACATCCATGGAAATTGAAAACTCAATTTTAGCAAAGTTCACATTATATTGTATATCCTCTATAAAAACCAAGAAACAATACCTACAATTTCAATGTTGCCCCTGTTAAATGTTGTTGAACCATCTGCATATCAGTATCAGCCATTAAACATATAAACCGAGTTGTTTTTCTTAAATTTGTCAGATAAATCTTGGAAATATTATAAATACAATATATTTTTTTTCTAATTCTTAATTTTTTAAAAGTATTTTTGTGTTGGTTTTCTTTTTGCTTTACTTTGCATATTTCTTTTGAGGAAACGATACTATTATATGATTACTATGTGAAAGGAAATTTGTGCATTATTTTTCTTTTTGATTCATCTAAATATATGGACTAATTAAATATGGAATTTCCTTTGTCATTTATATCTGATTATGTCCATGTTGTCGTCAAACCTATCTTCCTCCTAAATTATCAAAATTATCCTTCACATCACTCTTTCGATCTTGAATAACCGGTATGACCACTTCTCCATGCTTTTCTCACATCATTATGTCGGTTTTCTCTCTCACGATCTTGATCTTCTGAGCATTATGATTCAGGTTATGGTTCCCAATTATCCATCTTTTCCTTTATAGATTTATAAAGGCCAACATTTTTAGATTTTTAACAGAAACCAGTAAATAAGAAAATACCTTCTATGGTAGGTTGTGCATGACTATTGTAAGTTCATCCATACATCTTTACTTTGCCATTGTACAATTTGTGGCCCGCTTGCCCTTGATTTCCCATTGTACCCTTGCTGATATATTCATCAAATTCCACTTATTGCTAATGTTTTGATCAAATTCTACAGTATTTGTTGTTTAGTGTAAGAAAGTGATATGGTTTGGTATTTTTTTTACTTTGTTTTGCCTGACTCTTAATACTTAAATATAATTGTTTTACAACTACTCCTTTGATGTTTAATAGTTTAAGCTTAACATGTTGCATTTTTTGGTCATCTTTTAATACATAATTTTCATATTTTGGAAACAATAAATCATAACATGTTGCATTATTTTGTCATTCGTGTGTGTATATATATATATATATATATATATATATATATATATATATATATACACTACATGTATGCTTATAGAACCATGCTTATATTCATTTATTCCTATGTATTTCATGATTAAAAATGTAGGAAACAATTGACAATATGAAACACGTTTATCGTTTGGTGAGCGATTTACGTCCTAATGTAACAAACAAGTGGAAAGTGAATGTAACTGTTTCCCGTGTGTGGACAACATACAATCCTAACAACAATCGGGTCATATCTTTTGACCTAATCTTATCCAGTGAACATGCAAGTTTCTTCTTTATATCAACATAAATTATTATTAGTTTAAAATATCTATTTTTCTAACTCTTTATTATTTTTAGAATTGTTGCATCCAAGAAATCATTCCTTATATATTGATAGACTCATTCAAAAACAAAATCAAGAAGGAGGGGTCTACAGGATACATAAGTTTGAAGTTCTTGTATATGGTACATTTTATCAGCCACTATAGAAGGATATATATATATATATATATATATATATATATATATATATATATATAAACACACTAAGTTCTTGTCTGAAACATTAGTTTCATATTCTTACCTTCCATTGTCGTTGTTCCAATGATATTCTTTCAATTCCATTCCATTCTGCAACCTTTCTTCATGTGTTAATGATGTTAAATATCTATCAGGTTTAACATTGAATTATTTATTTTTCTATTCAAATCTGTATGTGTTTCTACCATATCTCTTTTTTAGACGTATTTGTGAGTGGTGTTTTGTAGAAAAAAATGTTGGAAAAGGTTGTGCGTTTAATCATACATGCATAAAATAGTTATACCCGATGAAATGTTTGTTTTATAAAACAATTTATTCCATTATTTTATTTTATAAGTTTATATATTAATTCTATTGTCTTTGAAAAATAACATACAGGGGTATGAAAGTTACTGTCTCGATATGGGGAACACTTGCTACACAGTATACCGATGAAGATATAAGAAGCTACAATGATAATGTAGTTGTCATTCTCACTTCTTGCAAAGTTTCTCTTTTGAGAGGTATGTTTTTTTACAAGACAAAATTACTTACACTTTTTTGTATATGTAATATGGCTATTTGTTTTTATCAGGTGTTCCAACATTACAAACAGCAGGTTCATCTCAAATGTATTTGAACCTTACAGTGAAGGAGATTGAGTTTTACAAAATTATGTAATTACTTGTATATTTTCATAAAATTTAATCATAATATGCCATGTTGATCAATTTATCTTACACATGTCATGTCATTGTTTTATAGTGTAGCACAACCGGTACGTTTTATATATCAGAGCAAAGGAAAAATAGAGGCCTTCTACCCAACCAGATTATCTGATGTTTATAGTCATTTACAACATGGTGTCGATAAGGTATTTTTTATTATAGATATCTACAACTGAAATTCCATGTGATTCCCGAATTCACTTTATTATTTTATTCTTTGTAAGGGGAACACAATATACTTTTAAGGGGACCATCATCGATATAGAGATGTTTAGTGATTAGAAATTTGACCAATGTGCAACATGTCGTAAGAAGGTTACTATACGTGATGGTCGTTATTTTTGTTTAAGTTGTCAAAAAATGTTGATAACCCTTGGCAATCCTAAGTATTTTTTATTAAAATAGTTTTTATATGTTATTCTTATCAACATTATTTATATAGGTATAAATTGGTTGAACGAATGATGATCAAGGTGAAGAGATCACATGTTTTCTTTTCAACAAAGTTGCTATTCCTCTTATTAGTTTTACTGTTGATGAATTAGTTAACAAGAGTTTATTAGAGGTTTAATTATATATATATATATATATATATATATATATATATATATATATATATATATATATATATACTCACACACATAGATGTGTATGGGTTTTTGTTGGTATGTATATTAATATATTTCTCATGTTTTCTTATGGTGAAGGTGGTCCTAAATGGATACAAAAGTTTATTTTCAAAAGTTTATCTGCTTATAAGGTCATTTTTACTATTGAGGTAGATAAATTTAATTTGTCTCCAAACAACATGCGCCGTTTTACTATAACTAAAAATCATAGTGACAATAAGCATATTAATAGTGGATTTAAGATTGCTCCCACCATTGAGAACAGTAAGGTGGTTGTAACAAATTTTCAAGATTATTATATAGTCGAATATGAATATGAATGTTTGTCTAAAATCACTGAATATGAGTGGGAGTTGTCAGACCAGTGTTATGGGGACCATGTATTGATTTGATACGATCATCAATCTCAACAATGGTAATTATTGTTTCATATTATCATTTGTATGTAAAAGTTATACTTTATGTGTAGTAAACTTTGTTTGTCTTAATATACATAGGTTGCTTCTAATAATAAAGAAAATGATGGTATTCAAAAATGTAAATATGAAATCAACGATGCGGAAGACGAACAAGGAAGTGATAACGTATGGGTTAATTTATGTTATTTCTATAAAGTTAGATTATGGTTTTTGGTATGTTTCCTTATTATTTTGATCGATATTGAAAATTAGGTTGATCATGGTAATATTGAAGATCATATTTGTAACACGTCCATCTCTATTTCTACTTTACAAGATTGTGAAGACATTCACGTAAGATATAAACTATTGTTTACATTTTCTATATTTCTTATGATATGAAACTTTTATTAATTCAACAGTTATTGTCAACTTTTCTTTTATATTATGTTTATTTCTCATAAATCATGATTCTTATTGTCGAGTTTGTATTTTGTTCAACTAGGCAGCTTCTGTTGATATTGAAGTTGATTCTTCGGCAAAATCTTCTATCGGACCCTCAATAACACCAAAGAAGCATCGGCTTCCATAATTATGTGAGGAGTCTACTGATGATAATATTCCTAACTGACTTTAAAGTAATTAAACATTAGATTTCAGTTTCCTATTTTTAACTTAATTTCGTTTAATTGTGTGTTAATCGCTTGATATGCTTTTTACAATATTGTCTTTTAATTCTTTTTTTTTTTCATTCATATGTTGTTTATTTGGATAGATTTGTTTACTTACAATTTTCATGCATGCGGTGGATCTTTTGTGTAAACCAAACCTTAGTGAGTTCCCTAAAATACCATATACCATACAAGTATCGGGCCCTGCCCGACATTCATTGGCCGCCACCCGGTATATATACAAATACATGCAAGAGTCATAAAGACAACTAGCATTCTATAGAAATAAACTATTAGGCCGACATTGGTGCCTTAGACCTAGTAGTACAGTGAAGAGACTCGCCTCTCAGACGATAATCAACTGCTACTGCTCTCACTGCCGAATCACAGGTGATATACCCAACCTACACATTCATACAAGGTAAACTCTTAGTCCACCTTTCCAAAACTAAGAGTTGACCAAAATTCAACTCATGTCAAAGAGCCAATAGTCAAAGGAAAAGAAGTCAAGATGTCATCCGCTATGGGCACAAAACGACGAAACTGTCAACTGATCTCTGGTCGCCACACCGTGGTGACCTAGTGTGACGTTGTAGCGACCTAGTGCTACGTCGTGGGGACCAGTCTGGATAGCCTATTCAAGTTAAGCTTCTCTTAACTCATTTTCAGGGGATGAAAAGCCCAGATCTACTCCTTCCCAACGTCTTGATGGATACAGTTTCCAACTATATCCATTAAGACAAGATCTTGAAACCTAGGTTCTAAAGGTCATTTAAGAGGTATAACTCATTAATTAAGTCCTTAATCACAAGAGATGCAAGCCCAAAATTTCTAGAAAAGCTTTTACGGGTCATATTGATCCCTAAAAATGTAAACTTTATGGACATGCATGCTCCATGCATGTCCTTCCTCAAATCTAGGTCAAAAAGAACAAATGGGACCTAAAGCTCATGCAAGATTTCCAAATCACAACCATTTATCAGATCTATAAGATATAATGTCCTTGAGATTCCTAAGAGTCATAAAGTTGCATACTTTATCTCTTTACTCCACTCAAAATCCAATAAAAGAGTTTATTAAGCAAAATAACTCTAGGTATCTAAGGAGAAGATAAAAGACTAGATCAAGAGCCTTAAATGGTCTAACAAAGTGCTTTCGGAGGTTAGGGAGTGTTGCTTGCTGGTCTCTTGCACAAAATCTTCTTCTAATTCCTTCAAAATCACCAAAACTAGCAAATGAACTCCAAAAGCTTAAAGAAAGATAAGGGTTAGCGTTTTTGGGGGTTTGAGAGTGATGGAGGCTGAGGATGATAAAACTCTAGCCTCTTTATTCCTTTAAATAAGGCACGAAGCCCAAAAATTAGGGTTTCATAAAAATCAGCTGCCATGTCGTGGCAGATATGGCCACGCCGTGACGGGTCTTTAAATACCACTATCCATGAAAACATCGCCGCGTCGTGGTGATGCTCCACCATGTCATGGCCACCCAAAATGAAGACTTAAAATATAATGGATTAATTCATAGATGGAACGGGTGTTACACAATTTGAGAGATCCTATATTTTTTAAATAAAGGTGGAATAATTAAATATTTATGAGGACTAACTTTGTAAATTACTTTCATATTTATACTAGATTATGACTCGTGTAAAATGTGGGGGAACATATAAAAACAACATAGAAAGTTAAAAAGCTGACACAATAATTAAAAAAAAAGATAAATTAACATAATTAGACTTCCCGTTTTTTGGTAATATTGAAATCTCCCTCATTTCTAGCCATAACAAAGTTACTATATCCCTAACATCACCTTCATCAAATAGGGTTTCAAATACTTACATGAAAATCTTTTTTATTCAACGATACGATAGACATCATCATATCTTCACAAATAGACATCATCATACCTTCACAAAAACAACAAAAAAAAACAATGATATTAGCAACATAAAATTAATATACATCCCCATTTGTTACCTTAAAATATATAATTTGTGCAAAACATGTAAAAACATTACCTTATCAACTCTCGAATAAAAAAATATTTTATGAAATGTTATGTTTTATAGTAACCCTAGTTCACCCACCCGTCTTGACTCATGATTCTTCTAATAGATTGTATGATAGGGTTAATATCAACTTTAATATGTTGTTCATCATATTTAAACAGATCAAATATTTGATGGGTTGTAGTTAATGGTCCAACACCACCGCACCCGGTCTTTCCCCGTTATTGCGCCTGCCCATACCGCCTAGCAGCCCGATCTCTCATTGGTCCCCAACATGCCTTCTTCTTCCAGCCACTATGTCCCTGTCCCTTATCCGGTTTCCCATTCCATTATTTTCTCTCCTTGGCCCCCCGCTCATATGCGATGAAGATACCAAGAGGAGAGTCGGAATGGAATGTGAAACCGGATAAGGGACATGGACAGAGTGACTGCAATAAAAAGGACAGTTGGGGACCTAAGAGAAACTGGGCTGATCGGAGGGTATAGGCAGGCCTAATGACGGGCCTAGACCGGGTGAGGTGATGTTAGAAGTCAAACTATAACTTGCCAGATCTTTGATCTGTTTAAATATGATGAACAATATATTAAACTTGATATTAACCCTATCATACAATGTATTAGAAGAATCATGAGTCAGAATGGGTGTGTAAACTATGGTCACTATAAAACATAACATTTCATAAAATATTTTTTTACTCGAGAGTTGATAAGTTAATGTTTATACATGTTTTGCAAAGATGATATATTGATAGGTAAGAAAAGGGAGTTTCTACTTTTATTACATTGCTAATAACACTAATTTCTTTTGTTGTTTATGTAAAGTAATACAATAGATAAACAAATCTGTCATAAATATTAAGCTGCTCACAGGGATTAAATATTTTGTTTTCATTATTTATAGACCATATATGTAATTTTACTATTACATATGGACTATTATTGCTATTTTGTTTATTTCTATACACTTTTTTTGTAAGGTTATTAAACATGAACCCTTTATGCAATATATTAATTATACGGGCTATATTTACGTTTTGAAAAAATGGTTAGAATTTATACAAATTCAACCATCTTTTTTACCAAACAACATACTGGAATTAAGAGGTTAGAAAGTAACCCCATTTTGTTACGAGAATGATGTGCACTAAATAAAAGGATATAAATGAAAATTTTATAAGGAAATAAATAAATAAATATCATAGTAATCAGTGTTAGTAATTTTACAATTTTACCGATAAGTGTACTTTTATTGGAATAATTACACTTTGAAAGGACAAAATTGCCACTTATATGAATTAGATTGGAGTTTTTTTTACAATTTGTTAACTTGAAAAACATTTGTGTTTATGATGCAAGTTGCAAATTAATTAGGTACTTATTTTTTATGTTTTGTTAAAATGGTTAAAAGTTATACGATGACACATTTATTATACCAAACAAGTTGCTTTCATTAAGAGGTTAGAAAGCAATACAATGTTGTTAATAAATTGATGTGCAATAAACAAAATCATATAAATGAATTTTTATAATAAAATAATAAAAAAAAACTATAGTCATCAGTGTTAGTGATTTTAGAATTTTACCGGTAAGTGTGGTTTGATAGGAAAAATTACACTTGGTATGGATAAATTTTTTACTTTTATGAATTAGATTTGGGTCTTTTGTTTTATGTTAATTTAAGAAAAAATATTATTGACAAAGAAAAAATGTTATGATGGAAGTTGCAAGTTAATTAGATACTTATGTTTTTTAGGTTTTGTTAAATGGTAAAAAGTTATACGATCTCATACATCTTTTTTTTACCAAAGAACATGCTTTCATTAATAGGTTAGAAAGCAATGCCTTAATGGTTAAATGTTGTTAGGTAAATGATGCATAATAAACAAAATTATATAATGAAAATTTGAAATGAAAAAAAAAGTTAAAAAAAAAACTTACCGCTTGAAGAGGTAACAGAAGATCCTCCACTAAATGTATGTTGACTAACTTTAACAAATTAACCATGTTTGTATTCTTGAACAATGGAAAGAACAACTTACGCATGGTGTAAGTCAATATATACATGCGGGCACTTGGCGCCCTACACAGGGAGTAACTTTTAGTTACGAAGGGCGTAGGTACGCAGAGTTTAAACCCTAATTATGGATTGTGAGCCCTATTTAAAGGCTCTAATCTCTTGAGAGCCTCCCCATGCTCAACCTCCACCCTTTCCTTCTCTAACTTCGAAACTAGCCTCTAGTGTGATCCTCGAAAACTTGAAATGATATTTTGATATTTTTTAGTGAATGAGAACTTGGAAGGTGTGCTTGGAGTCCATAGCTTGTAGATTCAGACTCTACTCTTCTTCAACATCTTCTAGAAGGTATAAAGTCTAAACATTGCTGATCCTTTTGTCAGATCTAGCTTGTGGTGATTTTGTATCAGTTTTCATCCCTTAATATTGGATCTAGGGAGTTTGAACAACTCCAGGCCTCATGAAAAGTGTCTCTCGTCATTTCTGAGCTTTGTGAACCATAAAAATAGGATCTTGGTCACTCCCATTTAGCCATGCTTGATCTATTTAGCTTTTTTGGGTCATGATTAAGACTTAGGTGTTGTTTGTTTTTTCTGAGGCAAAATGTCTGCAGTCTGCGGACCATATCTGCAGACTTCTGCAGTAGAAGAGGTGGACCAAACGTCTGCAGTCTGAAAGAAAAAGACTGTTTGTTTTTTAATATCTGCAGACTGTTAGAATAAACTAAAATCTAATTAAACTTATTAAAAACTTTCAAAATGTTTTTCAATAATTTTATGAATTTATTATAGATAATTAACAATTTTTGATCAACTTTTATGTATTATTGTATAAAAGTGAAAATAAAATGGTATGAATTAACGTATATATTTGATAAAAACCAACAAACTTTGGTCGTA